TTATATTTTAATGTTAGTATTCTTTAATATAGTGTAAAAACTAACTGTGTATTGCTGGTCTTTGACCGTAATAAAGATTTTACTTACCTAACTAGGGAGTAGCGGCCCATGGAGGCCTCTGGAAAGTGGCAGGTTATTATTATGATCCGTCCCCCTTTTCTGATTGGATCGGCTGAAATTATGGTTAATTACTGTGGAGTTATTTAAGTCTTCTGCCACGTTCCAGAGGATCCACGGGCTCTGGGAGAATCTGATCTCTGGAGATCCCAGCCAGGGAGGAAGCCGGAATGGCTCAACCGCGGCATCAAATCCGGGACCTTTGCGCAACTCCTGGGAAGAGCCTCTTCGAGGGACGGAGAAGAACCACACTGGCCCTCCCCTGTCCCTGCCCCCAAAGGCCACGGGGCCCACGTGAGCCCAGTAGGGGAAGAGGAAGGGCTACCTTGGGACTTGACCTCCACGCTGATCACCTCGGACCTCAGGGTGGCCAACGGATGCAGCTCTGCGCTCAGAGACCGCGAAAAGGCCTGAACCTCGCAGCGGTACGAGCCCACGTCCGCCGGCTGGGCCGACTCGATCCGCAGCAGGAAAGCGCCCAGAGGGGAGGCCAGCTTCTGCAGGGAGACGTGCCTCCTGCCCACGTTGCGGTTGGCGTAGTTCTGGCTCAGGACAAGCCCTCCGCTGGCCTCCAGCCGGGCGACGAGATGCCCATCCCCGTCAGCCTCCTTCCGCAGCTCCCAGCTGACGGCCAAGGCCACGTGGGGCAGGAGGAGGACGGCGGCTCCGGAGACATTGCAGAAGAGCTCCAGGGAGTCTCCGGGGCTCAGCAGGGCTCTGGGGGGGCCGGCAGACACCGAGAGCTGGCTCACTGGAAGCAAAGCACAGGGAGGAGAGAGGCTCAGGGGCTCGGAGGTGGGGGGTCCCGGATGCCTCCCTGTCCGTGACTGTCCCACGTGCGCCCCGCCCCACCGATCAGCTCCCCATGGTACCCGTAGAGCAGGATGGCCTCGAGGCCCAACAGGCAGAGTGGAGGGAAGGGGGGGGACAATTCTGAGGCTGGGAGACCAAGGGATGAGGAGGGATGCCCAGCAGGGCCCCTTGAGAGAGAACGAGTGGCCCCTTGGGAAATGAGGAAGGCTACAAAGGGGTCTTTGGGGTAGGAGCAGACCCACCTATGCTCTGAACGGAGACATCGGCCAGCGCCACCCGCTTCTCAGTGATCTGCTGCCAGCTGCCATCAGGATCCTGGATCCACTCCCCGGCGGCGCAGTGATAGGTCCCGGAGTCCTCTGGCCTGAGCCGGTCCAGCGCCATCTGGTACTTCCAGTCGCCCAGCTTGACCAGGGAGAGCTCCCGGGCCTGGCGCCGCTGGGCAAAACGCCCGGTTGATTCCAGGGCAAAGTCCCGCCGCAGCCCGATCACCTCCTGCTGCAGCCGGGGACTGCCGGGCGCGGAGACGGTGAAGGAGGCCGAGAGGTGGGTGTGTTGCTGGGTCCCGCTGGCCACGGAGCAGGTGAGCAGCAGGTCCTGGCTCTCCAGAAGCACCATCTGGGCAGGGGGAGGAGCCCCCCGGCCCAAGAGAGGGGGCTTTGCAGCAGAGGGAGGGGCAGCGGAGACAGCGAGCTGGTCGGGGATAACTGCGGGGGGGGAGGATGGGGGGGGCAGAAGGAAAGGGGTCAGTTCCACAGAGCCAGGGCTGGGACCCCCTTCCCACCATCCCTCTTCCAACCCTTCATTCCTCCCAAGGGAAGCCTAGCAGCCGGTCCGTGGTCGGTTCCCGGGGACTGGGCCCTGCCCCACACACCTTGGGGGGGCGGCAATGCAGGGAGGGGGCAGAGGAAATAGGCTGCTGGCTCCTCCCTCTGGTGGGGCTGGACGGCCATGGCCAAGACTCTCCCCCAGCATTGAGAGGGCAGGCGTACCTCTGACCTCCACCTTAGCACTGTAGCTGCCCTGGTACTTGGAGTCGGTGGTGGGCGTGTAGCACTCGTAGACCCCCGTGTCCTCCATCCGGACCGCCCTGACACGCAGCTCCACAGCATCGCCCCGAAGGCGCAGGATGGAGACGTTGCCGGCCTGCACCCGGGCCCCAAAAACCGCGTAAGGGAAGTTGGGGTCCCTCGTGCTGACCATGCCGATGGAGATGTCGGGAGCCGACGGGCGATACACGAACCACTCAAACTGCTGCAGAGGAGGACCCTCGAACTCGGAGACGTTGCAGGGAATGGCCAGGGTGGCGCCTTCCACGCGGTACAAGGGCCCCGGGGGCAGCTGGACCTTCCTGGCACCGCCGAGCTGGGCTGTGCGGGCAACAGAGGTGGGTCAGCCAAGTGGCTCCGATCCGAGGGTCAGACGGGCAGAGCAAAGGAGGCCCAGGGCCTCGGGTGAGGAGGAGGGCGCCCTTCCCACCATGCTGGGACCCTTCCAAGGGCCTGGGGGAGGGGCGGGGGGGGGGGCTTTGCAAACTGCACATCAACCTGAGAAGAGCCGGGATGGAGGCTGGTTGATGCAAAACTCTCCCCAAAGGTAGAAAAAGCTTCAGGAAAACCCTCTGGCCTTCACTGCCTTTTGCAGGACTGCTGCTGCTGCACAGGGAGGTTCTACTAGAGACACCCTGGGAAACAACTGGGGGGCTGAGCCCACATCTGGTCAGCCAGGGAACAGCCCCCGCCCTGCCCCCCACACAAGGCCTCCCTCCAGTCAATGGAAAGCAAAGGGCCTAATCTCCTAACAGCCTCACTAAGGGCAACCACTCCTCCTCCGGGGAGCCTGGGAGAACAGCAGGTGCCAAGGGCCCTTCCCTGGAGCCGCCTCCCTCCCCTGGCAACTGGGCAAGCGCTGGTATACGGGGCCTCCAGCAGGAGAGGCTCCGCTTATTTCCTAGGCTTCCACGCAGCCCGCTTCCTCCTGCAGGGAAGGGGACTCGGGCGCTGCAGGGGGGCCGCCAGCGGCAAAGTCACAGCTGGGCAGTGGAAGGAACCCCCCACTTCTTCCCCAGCAGGCAAGGCGGGACGTGTGCCTGGCCGCCGGACTCCTGGGCTGCAGCGGGGAGGCCCGTGGGAGGAAGTGGGTCAGCCGATCGCGGTCTGGGAGAGGCGCCCATCTGCTGCCCGCTGGCAGCCCTCCAAAGCCCCGGATCTCAGCCGGGCAAGACTCGGCCTCCCCGGCATCGCATTCAAAGGCCGGGACGCCCCGCAGGGCAGGGAAAGCAGCCGCGCGATTCCGAAACCCGGAGGGGAGGCGCCCCCCGCCCTTCCCGCCGGCCAAAGTCGAGCGCGCGCCTGCCCGCCCCGCAGGATCCCCCCGCGACGCCCCCGCCCGCCCCTTCCACGCACCGGCCAGCGGGAGG